TGTGGGTGGGCCTGCGGGGCCAGGGCGGAGTCTGAGGAACTGAGTAGGCCTGAGCCTGAGGTGTTGGGCCTGGTGAGGTGTGGTGGCACCTGCTTGTGGGTCTGTGTGGCAGGAGGCAGCTCTGGGAACTAGGCTGAGGCGGTTCTTGAGGGTCAGGGCTTATGTGGGCAGAGCTTAGGAGGGAGAAGAACCTGTGTTTCTGGTGGCAGGCCTTGGATTAGGTGGCTTTAGGGGAAAGGAAGGGACTAGAGGAAGAGGCGTTTGTAGAGGTCAAGGAAGGTTTTGTTACATGGGGCCTGAAGCAGGAGGTGACCTCAAGGGTGGAACAGCACATGCCACATAGAGTCTGGCAGTGGTGGGGCCATGGGCACTGCGGGACAGGGCACTGGGAGTCCTCTAACTGCTGTTATGTTCCTAAGTCAGCTGTGGACAGGGAAAGTGTTCTAGGGATGAAACTGATGGGCTTCATATTCAGGCTTGGATTTCAAACACTCCCACCCCCRATTTTTTTTKGTTGTTGTTACTGTGCATTGAACCCTGGGGGTGCTTAACCACTGAGCCACATTCCCAGTCCTTTTTAAATATTTTATTGAGAGACAGGTTCCTGCTGAGTTGCTTACACCTTTGCTAAGTTGCAGAGGCTTGCTTTGAACTTGTGATCCTTCTTCCTCAGCCTTCTGAGCCCTGGGATTACCTGGGCTCCAACCACTTTACCTGTCAATTTAAGCAAAACTGTAGATGAAGTTTCAGGACCTGGCACATAATGGACTTATTAATGAATATGATTATAATCATCATCTCTGTCTCCAAAAGTGTTCATTGAGCACATATTGTGGGAAATACAGCAAAGTCATTAACAGTTGAGAGTCCCACCTCATCAGGTCTCACAATCTTTAGTGGGAAACACATTGGTTTAACTCATTAAATTCAATTCCACTGGACACTTACTATGTGTCATTGCCTATTCTGGATCTAGAAGAAGCCCAGTTATCTCTTGTATTCATTTATCTACTTCAACCTGGACTGTTATGGAAGACTGTTCAAGATATTTTTTTTCTATCTCCATGAGGACAAGGTCATCTCTGTTATGCATGGCCTAGTAGTTCTGAGCTGAAAAAGGCAACATCAGTAGGAGATAAGTGGGAAGACTGTCTTAGGAACAGGAAACAGCATGTGCCAACAGCTCAGTGTGAGGATCCCACCTCACCCCTTTGGTGGACAATTCTTTCTTGGAGGATCTCAGCTCACTTTTTTCCCAGTCTTCTCCTGTTTCTAACTCCACAGGCACAGTCGCCCCCTGGTGGCAGCAACAGGAGAACCATATCTGGTCAGCGTCTGCAAGATGCCAAAGTGGCCAATACTCATCCTGAGTATGCATCCCAGGAATCCTCCTGTGTCCAAGGACAAGGGACACTAAGAAAACTTGTCCCTGGAGCACAGCATGTAGGAGCTGAGACTGCAGGGTCTGTGGAGCAGGAACATGAATATAGGCAGCAGGCACTTGGCTGATCCCAGGGGGAACTGATGGCCAAATAGTACCTGCAAATCCCCAGGGGATTTTGATCAGTTGACTCAGTGCCTCATTCAGGCGTCCAGCAATCTCCTTTACTTCCTGCTGTTCCAGGGCTACCAGGATGCCTAGGTTATTGCCATCTGAGATCCCTATGTCCCCCCYTGTCATTGGAGAGTGATAAACCTGTAGTTCTCAGAATTCCTCTGGTTGAGGTAGCCTCAGGTCCTCTGGTAGGCAAGAGCGCAGCCAGGTTGCAGAGTGTGAGTGTGGAGGAGGCAGAGGGGAGATGGCTGACAAGATTACACTGGAGGCACAAACAGGACATGGTCCTGTCACTGAAAGTGGAGGGCAAGCTGTGTCTTTTCAAAGGAGAGTCCACTGCAGGAAGGAGACCCTGTTCAAGCATCCATTTCTAGAGGGAGAGTGACAGGAGAGTGTATGTGCTGGGGCAGGGATGTCCTTGACTGGTGTCTGGGGTCTTGATCTGGAGAAGCCTGAATTTCCTTGGTGGGGGAGTGGATGAACCCATTTGTAAAGGGTGATGGTATAGTGGGGGCATGGTGGTGCACACCTGTAATCCCAGTAGCTTGGGAGTCTGAGGAAAGAGGATCACAAGTTTGAGGCCAGCCTCCCCAATTTAACAAGGCCTTAAGCAATTTATCAAGACCCTATCAAAAATAAAAAATGAGGGGCTGGGGTTGTGGCTCAGTGGTAGAGCACTTGCGTTCCTGTGTGAGGAACTTGGTTGAATCCTCAGCGCCACATATAAATAAATGAATAAAATAAAGGTCCATTAACAATTAAAAAWATATATATTTTTTTAAATGAAAAAGGGCAAGGGATGTGGCTCAGTGTTACAGTGTCTCTGGGTTCAAGCTCCCAACCATACACACACACACACACACACACACACAAAAAGGTGAAGAATTACAATGGAGCAATTTGACCATTGTTGATGCAGGCAGGTGGAAGATCACTTCTATTTGGGTGACAATAGGAAAAGTTGAGTGTTAGGTTTATTTTAGAAAGGGAGCACACTGCTTCCATTTTACAGAATGGAGGGTTCTTGGGAATGCATCTCTTCAGGGAGTGGATGAAGCAGGAAGCTTCCTCTGAGGCAGAGCTCCTGGAGGCAGGTGTTTGAAAGTATGATTATTACAACAGCCACCTACGGAAATCTCTAGGTGTCCCCTGTAGGGAGGGGCATAGTGAGAACCTCTGTTGATGTTGTGGGTGTGTCTTCAGAATTCTCCTACATGTGAGTGGGGGAAATACAGGAATCCATTATTGGAGTCTGTTTCCTT